CCGAGCTGCTTACCTATTGCAGATTCAGTCTTCCCAGCCTGGTGCAGGTCTACAATTTTGTTTCTGGTGTCCTTTGACAGCTCTTTGGTCTTGGCCATGGTGGAGTTTGGAGTGTGACTGTTTGAGGTTGTGGACAGGTGTCTTTTATACTGATAACGAGTTCAAACAGATGCCATTAATACAGGTAACGAGTGGAGGACAGAGGAGCCTCTTAAAGAAGAAGTTACAGGTCTGTGAGAGCCAGAAATCTTGCTTGTTTGTAGGTGACCAAATACTTATTTTACCGAGGAATTTACCAATTAATTCTTTAAAAATCCTACAATGTGATTTTCTGGATTTTTTTTTCTCATTTTGTCTCTCATAGTTGAGGTATACCTATGATGAAAATTACAGGCCTCTCTCATCTTTTTAAGTGGGAGAACTTGCACAATTGGTGGCTGACTAAATACTTTTTTGCCCCACTGTATATATATATTGAATACATTATATACAATTATTTCAACTAGTAGTTGCCTCATTAATTTATTTAGTTTAACTTGATGTACTAAAATAACTAAAACTGAAATAAAAATGAAGAAATAAATAGAATATAGTATTTAAAAATAATTTTAAAATGACTAAAACATTCATTAAAATTTAAATAAAAACTGAAAAAATTAAATATGAATAAAAACTGTAATAGGATCTGAACTAAAATAACACTGCTATTGCAGAATTCCCTGACTAATCTTACTATTCTCATTAGTGCTGTTTTCTAGCATCACTATTACTAGTGCACATACAGTACTTGTGCTCAGGGAATATTCAACTAAACCGCTCAAAAATGCATATACAGATATGAATAATACTTCAAATTAGGGATGCTCCGATCAGGATTTTTGCGGCCGATACTGAGTACCGATTTCTTGTCATGGTGATCGGCCGATATCAATGCCGATTCTGATGCTTCACGCTTTATATAGACGGTTTCATCGGGCGCACGCGCCTGGCCCGAAGTTAACTTCCGGTCTGTGTTTGTTTATCAGTTTGGCTATGGCACCGGCTACAAACGCAGTTAAAGTTAAGGTGATGAGTAGACTGAAGTTGGGCTCAGGTGGTTGTGCCGTTTATTTATTTGTGGCGCTCGCCACAATATCAAAACTGACCGATTTTCCAAAAGGCTTCGTTGAATAAACATGAGCACGTACTGCACGTTTAAAAATCAAAACGAGGTGCGGGAGTTTTTCTATCACTGTATTTCTGAAGGAAGACTATCTTTAGAAAATTTTCTATGTCATTTTCATTTCATCTTGCTTGTTATATGCCTGATAAAGCAGCGTTTGTGAGCTCAGCGCTGCTTTGTGTACAGCGGTTACTGGGGAAACCTCTGTTTTTGTTTTGTCCTCCAAGCTGTGACAACTCACAAATGACTATTTTTAACCAAGCAGCACGGAGAGCCGCTTCAGAAACGTGCCGCGGCTGGCTGATAAACACAAGCACTGACTAGAGCGGCCGCGATCAGCTCCTGCGGCCGTGGAGCCATATAATGCGCTGCAGATCAGCTCTAACGTCACTGAATCTGCTGTGTAGATGAATCATGCAAAATATACACGACAAACAGCGAATGTTTCATTGTTTCTCGAAACGTCATAACATTGCCACACCGGCGATGACATGACTGTTCCTGAGATCGACCAAGTTGGTGAGTACCGATCAAGTCATAAAATATGATTATCGGCCAATACCGATGTCCGGCCGAAAGGAAGACTATCTTTAGAAAATTTTCTATGTCATTTTCATTTCATCTTGCTTGTTATATGCCTGATAAAGCAGCGTTTGTGAGCTCAGCGCTGCTTTGTGTACAGCGGTTACTGGGGAAACCTCTGTTTTTGTTTTGTCCTCCAAGCTGTGACAACTCACAAATGACTATTTTTAACCAAGCAGCACGGAGAGCCGCTTCAGAAACGTGCCGCGGCTGGCTGATAAACACAAGCACTGACTAGAGCGGCCGCGATCAGCTCCTGCGGCCGTGGAGCCATATAATGCGCTGCAGATCAGCTCTAACGTCACTGAATCTGCTGTGTAGATGAATCATGCAAAATATACACGACAAACAGCGAATGTTTCATTGTTTCTCGAAACGTCATAACATTGCCACACCGGCGATGACATGACTGTTCCTGAGATCGGCCAAGTTGGTGAGTACCGATCGAGTCATAAAATATGATTATCGGCCAATACCGATGTCCGGCCGATCAATCAGAGCATCCCTACTTCAAATCAAGCTGCATGTTGAGACCCAATCCTAAAGCTGTGCTAAAGACCACCCAGAACACTCTTTAAAGGGGACCTACAATAATGTACAGTATTTGAAAAATAATGTGTTTTTTAAACATTAAAGCATGTCAACATTCTGTTACACCAAATACACCAAATAATGATCTTTAAAAAAGCATCATATGACCCCTTTAAACTCCGTAACCACAACACCCATCATTTCTTTAGAAAATATGTAAACCTGTTTCAATAATTTGTCATTTGATGATAGTTTCATGATCACCGGGTTTGAGCTTACAACCTTCTGGTTTCTTAAACTACGAGGCGACACCACATGTGAAAAGTTTGAAGATCCAGCACCAAGATGAGCGTGAGGCATTTATCAGCTATTTGCATTTTGGATTTTACTTCAAGTTAACCAGCAGATGTTTCCTGATAAAAAGGGAAGTTATTATTTAACCCTCTCTTGAGAATCTGTTGCATCAGTTAACATGAAATGTCTCTTTCTAAACGATCAGCATAAATAAAAAACACTGCAATTACAGTTGCAGTTGATTGTTATGCCTATTCCCTTGATTTAGTATTATTCATTCAGACATTCAAATATCAATATCCAGCATCACACCTTCACAGGTAGCACTAATAAAAGCCTTCATTTGAATGTCTTTTCTGGAGGCACTGAAGGAGAGTTCCTGGGTGTGTGTTTTTAGAGACGATGATACTTTAGCACACTAGTTTGTAGGATTCGCACGACTAACCTGAACTTTCGTTGTTCTTGTAGTTGATAATCTAATAGGCTTCCCCCATAAATCTGCCTGTTGACATTTGTGATATCAGATGTGATTAATGCTTCACTGCTCTTTAATGAAGCACTCGCTGTACATCTCCAGCGTTCTTGACAGTAAAGGCATTGGCATCGATAACACAGCGAACACCAATGGGACTGGTGAGCATTGTTTGCGTTCTGATGTGATCCTGCTTTTAAAATCTATTTGCATGATATCTTTTAAACAGCTTTGTTTTCTTTCAGTGTAACTCTCATCCGAAGCTGTACCCCGGAGATATTCTTGAGTTTCCTGGCAACAGTTACTTTTCTCATTTTGGCATTTACTATGGAGAAAGAGACGGCGTTCCTTATGTGGCCCATCTGACCATCAGAGGTGAGTCTGTGTCATCTTTGAAAAGAATTAGCCATTTAAAAAATGTTGTGGGGAATTTATTCACCTTCAGGCCGTCCAAGATATAGATGACTTTGTTTTTTATCATTTGGAGAATTTTAGCATTCCATCACTTGCTCACCAATGGATGCTCTGCAGTGAATGGGTGCCGTCAGAATGAGAGTCTAAACAGCTGATAAAATCATCACTATAATCCACACCACTTCACTACATCAGTTAACATGAAGTGAAGGGAAATGCTATGCGTTTTTAAGAAAAAAAATCCATCATTAGGACGTTAACTTTAAACCATTGCTTCTAGCCAGAATATGAGTCAATAAGCCATAATAATGCTTCCAGTGAAAAAGTCAATCTCCTGTTGTCTCTCACATTAAAAACCAACAACATATTTGTTTAGAGTTGCTTTGGACTGGTTTTGATTATAAATGGTGCTTGATCTGTGCAGATTTCTCTCCTGATTCAGGCAACTCTTTCACTGGAGAAAGAAATATAATGAATAGAGGGCATTATATTTTAGCCAGAAGCAACAGTTTAAAATTAAAAAATAATCTTCATGATGGATTTGTTTCTTACAAACACACAGCTTTTCTCTTCACTAGACATTAAGTGATGGACTGGAGTGGTGTGGATTATTGTGATGTTTTTATCAGCTGTTTGGACTCTCATTCTGACGGCACCCATTCACTGCAGAGGTACATTTCTCCAAATCTGTTCCCATGAAGAAACAAACTCATTTACATCTTGGATTACCTGAGGGTGAGGACGTTTTTAGCAAATGAAATCGTATGACTGTTCTCATAACATCTCTTTTCAAGATTCAGACACCAAACTCCTCCTTTTCGGCCGAGCTATAAACGCCGCCGTAAAGCTAGACCCGCTTGACGTAGTCGGGAAAAAATACAAGTTAAGAAACTACCTGGATGACAAGCATCCACCACGAGATTTCTACGTTCTCATCAAGCCGGAGATCGATGAAATCATGACGAAACCCATCACCTTTGACATCCTGTTCAACAACAGCGAACATCAGGCCACAATGTTACGATACGGGGTTAAAAAGTCCGAGCAGGTAAAACATTTTGTACACAAAATATGCATTTAATTTGACATTATGACACTAACCTGTCTAACTTGAATGAAAGTGTCAATATTAGCCTCTCATTTTAAAATGTTGGAAAACATTGGTAGACAAGAACTTTTCAGTAACTTTTTTTGAAAACTGTTTCCAGATTGAAAAAGTCTATTCCAAGATAGTTCCCACCTGGAAAGATTTATTTGAGAAGAAAAAGATTTGAGAGCCACATCTTCTGCATGAAGACGCAAGACTTCAAGATCATACAAAAACGATTTCTTTCTTAAATAATTCCTATTGAAAAGATCATGTGTCAAATATACATGCATAACTTTTTGTACAACGTTATTTGATGTTAAATGCAATCAAAACATACATAATCTTTATTTTTGTGAATGCATTTGGTATCTGAATATTGGATATTTTCAGTATGTCTATGTGTCCAGAAGGAGGCGACAAAGAGTTAAAGTTTGCATTGGATTTAGAATAAAGAAGGATACGATAGTCAACCAATTTATCTACATTAGAAAAATCTTCCACAAAACAAAAAAAATTACTTTTATTTTTTTTAAGTTTTATAGTTGGAAGGAAAAATAGATATGCTATCTTCTGCATTTCTCATTCATAGCTAATATAGGCTATACAATTGAGGAAATGATCTGGCCTTTTAGATGAATATAAATTTGATATATAATCTAGATTTCCATGTGCCATGATTCAATGCCAACTAATATTTTGTAAAACTAAGAGTGTTTATTAAAATGGCTTCAACCAAACTTACGAGTCATTTCTGATCAATGCATTATAAAAATATATATATATTTATTTTTTATGTATTTAAATGTATTTATTTCTGTTCTTTATTTATTTATTTAAATTCCCATTTTGTTTTGTTTTTTGAGAATAGGCATGCCTATATATTTACAACTTTTATAAACTGGACCACAAGCCGGTACACACAATTTGACACCAGTAGAGGGCGTGTAATCATCACGACAAAGACTGAAATCGACGGTGGATGCAAAAAAGAACTGAGTATTTCGGTAGCTTACTGTTTTTGGATGATCTTAGTGTTCGCTGTGGCATGACGGAAAAGGATGCAGATGTAGGTGTGAGAGGGACAGTTCCCCAAACATAAATAAATGGCAGCAGAAAGGGAAGCTCCCCCCTCTTATACTGTAACTTATGTCAGAATCAGAATCAGAATGAGCTTTATTGCCAGGTATGTTTACACATACGAGGAATTTGTTTTCGTGACAGAAGCTTCCACAGTGTAACAGAATGACAGTGACAGAGTAACACAATCTGGGCCTGGTGCTTTTTTCCTTTTCTGCTTCCAGAAGACCTGGCGCACCTCGTCTTCGCTGATCTGAATTGCAGGTGTGGGGGAGAGGGGGGTTGCTGGAGGTACGTATTTTAATAAACTGTACGATGGTTGCACGCGCACGCAGCGTAGTCCAATAAACCCATTAATTCAGTTTTCAAAACAGACACATTTCTCAAAAAGTTTAACAATGAGTAAGTTAAACATTAGGTAGAAAAACTGATGACACACCAATCAGAATCTCTGCATCCTAACAACGGAGAGAGGAGAGAGCTGAGACAATCATCTACAGGGGTTTTATACTTAAACATACAGTATAATTATATACAGTATGCACTGCTAGGTGGTTGTCCTGCATCTTCAATAAACAAGCTACAGATAGTCCAAAATGCAGCAGCTAGAGTCCTTACCAGGTCAAGAAAATATGATCATTTCAATGATGAACTGTCTTTAACTGAAAAATGAGTGTTTACTATTGTCATTTTGCATTATTGACACTATTTTCCTAATTAATGCTGTTCAGTTGCTTTGTCACAATCTGTATTGTTAAAAGCGCTATATAAATAAAGGTGACTTGACTTGACTTGACTATAATTACAGTACAGTACCAGTGCATTAGATCATGGAAATTTAACTATTTTGTATGTACAGTAAACTGTAGCACATGTAGAACTGTTGTACACCTTCAAGCGCTTGACTGTCAAATTTTATTTGTAACCGTTTTTGCAGAACTGAGAAATGACTGCCTAGAGATCTAGCTAGTCTTGTGTCAGGAGACCAAGAAACTGCTATAGTACTGTAACGGGGCTGACAAGACGTGAGATGTGCGGATCCATAAGCAAGCTTTATTTAAAGCAGAAGAGGTCAGAAACACAAGCAGGGTCGAAACAGTGGCAAACAGGTATATGGCGGGCAAGACACAAGAATAATCCTAGGGCTAGCGAAGGTCCATGAACGGCGAACAGAATCAAAGGGGCAAGACTAAAGGGAGAAATCCAGGAAAACAGGCGAAGATCAAAAACTGAGAAAACAGACAAGGCAAGGCAAAACTAGGCTAGGAGGCTAACGGGGCTCTGTACTGTAGCTATCCAACGATAAGTGCTAAACAATACTCAGCCCCGTTACAGAATACTCGGCCACACAAGGATCCAGCAGCTTCTCGGATGGACATTGGTCAGGTAGGGATACAGGAAGAATATTGTTTAGCCCGTACCCCATTCCGAGTCTCTGTGCTTAGCCAGTTAGTCAAATCACAGCTGATATTCATGTGTCTAGTCAAGTCACAGTGGATCATCATGAGTCAGGTCTAGTCACAGCGGATCTTCCTGAGTCAAGTCTAGTCACAGTTGATCTTCCTGAGTCGAGTTTAGTCACAGTTGATCATAATGAGTCAAGTCAAGTTACAGTTCATTATCATGAGTCAAGTCAGGTCACCGCTGATCTTCCTGAGTCAAGTCTAGTCACAGTCGTTCTTCCTGAGTTCAGTCAAGTCACAGCTGATCTTCCTGAGTTCAGTCAAGTCACTGTTGATCATCATGAGTGAGGTGATAAGAAACAGCTGTGTGCAATCAGTGCAGTGTGCAAACCGTGCAATGAATGATGCGATATGTAGTCCGTTTGAGGTGCTGAACTGGTGCTATGCAACAGTTTGAGTTGTGCGAGAGTCAATGTAATGGAAAGGGTGACCTCTGGTGGTGAATAAACAGAAGTCCATAGACCGAATTCGTGACAAGTACTGTATACTGTAATGCAATTTGGCCAAAAGTGCAAAGGATGCTAAATGTACTTTTTTATATTGTATTTTTTACTGTACTGTATTGTGGTACATTACAAGTTCATACAATTCTTTGGTATTTGAACTTTTCTAGTGCTTTTCCTCTACTGGACGATTACCTTACAGTAGTAAAATGAAAAAAATAAATAAAAAATTCCCAAAAGTTAATTGCTAAATTATACATCTTTAGCTGTAATTTAATTTATGTATACTGTTATAGACATTGAGCTGCAAAAATAATTCCTGAATCCTGTTACAGTGTTATTGGTTTTTCAACTAGTTACACACAAAATCTTTACTTGCCACACAATTTCTGACACTCAAACACCAGAATCACACACCAAATCTGCAAAACCATACACTAATTCTCGGCCTTTGACTCAGTTTTCAATTTCATAAAACACTTTTTGTAAAACACAACACACAATTCTCTTTGTAACACAAAAATCTAACAGGAATTAATATTATGGCAAAGGTGTTTGCAAAAGTTTTCTTTTGAGATGTGTTTGTGATATTTTGAATGCAGTGCTTCATTTTGCAAGTGACGTGAGGCATTTTGCATTTTGTGTGTGCAATTCTTGGAAAATGTGTGCAAGCAGTTGAAAAAAACCTGTAAGAAAAACTAACTAGATTGAAAAGTTTGAAAGACAAATTTATGCTGGCTTGTCTTAAAGTCTTGTTTAAAAAACGTAAATGGTTTGGTCAGTTAGATGTTCTAGATGTTTGCTGAAGTGTTGCTAGTTGGTTGCTAGGGTATTCTGGGTGGTTGCTAGGCTCTTGCTATGCAGTTGCTGGGGTGTTGCTAGAGTATATGGTTGATAGAGTTTGTTCTGGGTGATTACAGACATTCCCACCTCTGTTAATAACAGAAAATCAAACATTGTTTTCAAAACTGATCCAGTTTCAGTGCTTTGATATTATTGTATTTATTTCTAATGTTAGGAAATTCAAAAGTTTTTGTTGCTTTTAAACTTGCACTAAACATGATTATTATTACATCATTATTACATAACAACAGAAATGTTTGCCGCGCCAACTATCGGACGATTCATCGACAGAACCTAAGTAGAACTTATATATTTACAAATCACACATATTTCACAAAAATAATTTCGCGCTTTGTGTAGAAAACTAAGACTGTAAAGCCTCGTTCACACCAAGCACGATAACGATAACGATAACGATATAGTCCTAAAAATCGTTCTCAATATTAAAGAATAGCAGAGTACACACCACAACTATAACGATAAAGACAAAGAGAAACGATATCGTTGCGTTCACTTTCAGAATGATTTTTTCCTGCTGATGAACGATAAAAAATTGACAGCCAATCAGAATCCATCTTGCTGTAACGAGCTCAAGAATTTAAAGCGGCAGACACGTGTGTGCTTAGAATAAACAGACGACATTGTTCGCTGGTGTGGACGCTAATATCGTTAGCTTTATAGTTATCGTTCTTGGTGTGAACGGGGCTTTAGTCTAGTCGCTCACAGCCTCGTTTTCGACGTTCGGTAACCATAGCAACAGAAATGTTTGCCGCGCCAACTATCGGACGATTCATCGACAGAACGTAAGTAGAACTTACATATTTACAAATCACACATATTTCACAAAAATAATTTAGCGTTTTGTGTAGAAAAACTAAGACTGTTAGTCTAGTTGCTCACAGCCTCGTTTTCGTCGTTCGGTAACCATAACAACAGAAATGTTTGCCGCGCCAACTATCGGACGATTCATCGACAGAACGTAAGTAGAACTTACATATTTACAAATCACACATATTTCACAAAAATAATTTAGCGTTTTGTGTAGAAAAACTAAGACTGTTAGTCTAGTTGCTCACAGCCTCGTTTTCGTCGTTCGGTAACCATAACAACAGAAATGTTTGCCGCGCCAACTATCGGACGATTCATCGACAGAACGTAAGTAGAACTTACATATTTACAAATCACATAGCGTTAGCGTTTTGTGTAGAAAACTAAGACTGTAAAGCCCCGTTCACACCAAGCACGATAACTATAAAGATAACGATAAAGATATAGTTATAAAAATCGTTCTCAATATTAAAGAATAGCAGAGTACACACCACAACTATAACGATAACGGCACAGAGAAACAATGTCGTTGGAATCATTTTCAGAACGATTTTTCTCCAGCTGATGAACGATAAAAAATTGACAGCCAATCAGAATCCATCCTGCTGTAACGAGCTCAAGAATTTAAAGCGGCAGACGCGCGTGCACTTAGAATAAACAGACGACATTGTTCGCTGGTGTGGACGCTAATATCGTTAGCTTTATAGTTATCGTTCTTGGTGTGAACGGGGCTTTAGTCTAGTCGCTCACAGCCTCGTTTTCGACGTTCGGTAACCATAGCAACATAAATGTTTGCCGCGCCAACTATCGGACGATTCATCGACAGAACATAAGTAGAACTTACATATTTACAAATCACACATATTTCACAAAAATAATTTAGCGTTTTG